TTTTCCACAAGAATTCAATTATTTTTATATAAAATTCTTTTCAAGGATTCAATTATTTTTATAACTAATAAAACTCATAGCAAAGATTCAATTATTTTCAAAAATTTCAATTATTTTTATATAAAATTCTGTTCAAGAATTCAATTATTTTTATAACTAATAAAACTCATAGCAAAGATTCAATTATTTTCAAAAATTTCAATAAAATTCTTAGAACCGATTCAATTATTTTCAAAACATTTTCGGAATTCAATTATTTTCTTAAATCATAAAATTTTTATAAGAATTTAATTATTTAAAGTTCAATCTACATTACATTTTTTTTAAAAAAAACAATTGTTTAAAAGAATTTTAATAAAAGTTTTTACGTGAATTCAATTATTTACCAAAATTTTAATGCAATTCTTCCTAGGAATTCAATTACTTTCAAACATTTTAATAAAATTCTTCGCAAGAATTAAATTATTTTTTATAAATCCAACTTCTTCGTTGGAATTCAATTATCTTCATAAATAATAAAATTCGCTCTACAATTTAATTATTTTCATAAATAAAAAAATTTTCACGGAAATTGAATGATTTAAAAATTAAATTACAATATTCATAAAAATTTTCGAACAAAATCAATTATGTAAACAAAGTTTTATAAAATTTTTCACGGAAATTCAATTATTTTAAACAAAATGTAATGCAATTCTTCGCTAAAATTTAATTATTTTTTTAAATTTTAATAAAATTCTACAATAAGAATTCAATTATTTTTCCATAAAATTCTTTGTAAGGATTCAATTATTTTTATATAAATATAAATAATACTCATAGCAAAGATTCAATTATTTTCATAAATTTTAATAAAATTCTTTACAATAATTCAATTATTTCTAAAGGTATAAAATTCTTTTTAATGATTCAACTATTTTCATAAATAATAAAACTCATAGCAAAGATTCAATTATTTTCATAAATTTTAATAAAATTCTTCACAATAATTCAATTATTTCTAAAGGTATAAAATTCTTTTTAATGATTCAACTATTTTCATAAATAATAAAACTCATAGCTAAAATTCAATTATTTTCATAAATTTTAATAAAATTCTTCACAATAATTCAATTATTTCTAAAGGTATAAAATTCTTTTTAATGATTCAATTATTTTTATAAATAATAAAACTCATAGCTAAAATTCAATTATTTTCATAAATTTTAATAAAATTCTTCACAATAATTCAATTATTTCTAAAGGTATAAAATTCTTTTTAATGATTCAATTATTTTTATAAATAATAAAACTCATATAGCTAAAATTCAATTATTTTCATAAATTTTAATAAAATTTTATATAAGAATCGAATTGCAATTATTCTTAAAAATTTTATTAAAATTCTTCGACAAAATTCAAGTTTAAGAAATGTTCATAAAATTTCTATATAAGAATTTCATTTTAAGAAGTATTCAATTATTCAATAAATTAATTATGTTTATATTTAAATTTTGAATAATTGAATTCTCGAAGAAGTTTCTAATAAGAGTTGATTTAAAATTGAATTACAGTTAAAATTTCAGATAATAATTGAATATTAGAAGAGTTACATTATAAATTTTGAGAAATAATTAAATTTAAAAATTTTTTTTAAATTAAATTGTTATAAAACTGACAAAATTAAAATTTAGAAAAATATTGAATTTTGTACAAAACTTTAGAACTGAAGTTATTTGTTTAAACAAATTCGTCGGAAAATGATTCCAAATACAATTTTTTCGAAATGTTTGTATTGTCATGCAGTGTAATTAAAATAAAAAATATTAACATTAAAATAAATGACTTGCAGCGTATAAACTTGAAGTTATTCTTTTTTTTTGTCATTCTTCCTTGTAGAGAGAATTTTCTGCTGATGATTATTGGTGTAAACAAATAATACACAACATTATTGGCGAATTGTTACAAAGTTGTTAGTTGAGGGTAGATTGTAAAACGTGTAGGTCGCCAAGGTTACTAGAGAGAGCGTTAGTATTCAGTGAGTGTCGACGTGACATCAGCACGCGGAAATGCGATTCGATGCACCTCGTAAAAGTAACAGCCAAACCACGAAATGTACCCGTATGAAGATTTATAGCCCTTGCCTACAGTTGGCGCTTTAATGCGACAGACTGCTTTAATTTGCACTCTGCAGATTTCCATCCTGCAAAACACATGTACTGAATTTCACATAAAATAACATTCCTACTTCAAAATACATACAACATATATATATAAACATGTATGGCGTAAAATGTACGTGAGAAAAAGAATTCTCTTGTAATGTGTCAATTTTTCCTTCAATTTTACTTTATAAAAATTCAGCGATAAATTTTCTCCTGGAAAATGTCGATAAAAAAGTGCCTTCTCATCGTTTGGTCTTAACACTGAAAGAATTTTATTTTTATTATTTTTTGTTTTATTATCTATTTCAGTATTATTTATTAATATTATTCTTTTTATTAAATTTGAGCTCATACATCCAGTTATACATTTAATAATAATAATAAATAATAATCTTCAGGAATAACTGGATAATCTTTTATTTAAAAAAATTTGTCACTCACGACGTTTCGATATCAACGTTGATATTATTATTATTATTATTATTATTATTATTATTATTATTATTATTATTATTATTATTATTATTATTATTATTATTATTATTAGTTATTATTATTAACAGTAGTGTAATTTTAAAAACTATTTAGAAACTTATTAATAAGTCATTCCAGTCAAAAAGAATTTCTAGAATTTTACTAGAATAATTCTACATAAAGTAATTATTTTCAAAAATTGTCCTCAATTATTTTCAATACTATTTTAAATTGATTACAATCGAAAAATTTAATTATTTTCTCAAATAAAGTTTCAAAAATAAAATTTTTATGAAGAATTAAATTATTCTCAAAAATTTTAATATAATTCTTGTCAAAATTTCAATTATTTTCAAAAATTGTCCTCAATTATTTTCAAATAGGTACTATTTTAAATATTGATTATAATTTATAGTCGAAAAATTCAATTATTTTCATAAATAAAGTTTCACAAATAAATTTTTTTATAAAGAATTCAATTATTTTCAAAAGTAACAAACTTTTTCAGACAAATTCAATTCTTTATTTCTTTTTAAATATTTTTAAAAAAATTTTTCACAATAATTCAATTTTTTTTCATAAATAATAAAATTCTTCTTCATAATTCAATTATTTTTGAAAATTTTAATAAAATTCTTTGCAATTATTCAATTATTTTCATAAATAATCAAAATTCATCACAAGAAAACAATTATTTTTGAAAGTAATAAAATTCTTCACACGATTTCAATTATTATATAAAAGAAAATTTAATAAAAATTCGTTGCAAGAATTCAATTATTTTCATAAATAATAAAATTGTTTACCTACAGGGATTCAATTTTTTTTTAAAACATTATCGAAATTCAATTATTTTCAATATCTACTATTTTAATAAAATTTCCCAATAGAATTCAATTATCTTCATAAATAATAAAATTCACACTAGAATTTAATTATATTCATAAATAAAAAAATTTTCACAGAAATTCAATTATTTAAAATACAATTTTTATGAGAATTTTTGAACAAAATCAATTATTTAAACAAATTTTTATAAAATTATTCATGGAAATTCAATTATTTAAAAAAAATGTAATTCAATTCTTCACAAAATTTTTTAATTATTTTCATAAATTTTAATAAAATTCCATATAAGAATTAAATTATGCAATTATTCTTAGAAATTTTATTAAAAGTCTTCGAAAGAATTCAAGTTTAAGAAAAGAAAATTTTAGATAATAATTGAAGCGTTATATTATGAATTTTTAGTAATAATTAAATTTAAATAAATTTTTAAATTGAATTGTTTGAAAATTTTAATTGTTATAAAACTAAGAAAATTCAATTTTAGAAAATTATTGAATTTTATAAAAATTAAGAATTGAAGTTATTATCAGTATAAGAAAAAATAGAAAATAATTTCGATGAAAAATAGAAAAAAATCATGGAAATAAAATGCAGAATAAAATTTTTGTGATTTTTCTAAATCAACTAAATATGGCTTTTTACGTAAATATTTAATTATTTTTATAAATAATAAAAATGTTACAAGTCACAGGAATTCAATTATTCACACATTTTTTTTTTTATAAATTTCTTCGCAATTATTCCATTATTTTCATGAATAATAATATTTTTTACAGATATATTTAATTTTTTTCATAAATAATAAAACTCGTCACAGAATTTCAATTATTTTTAATACAGTTTTAATCGAATTTCTCAAAAAATGTAAATATAAAAATTTTGTTCAAATTCGTCAAAAGAATTGAATTATTTAAATTGAATTGAATTATTTAAATTATTTATAATTGAATTCTCATAGAATTTTCTAATAAAAATTGATTTAAAAATGAATAACAGTTAAAATTTTAGATAATGGAATATTAAAATCATTACAGCATGAATTCTTAGAAATAATTGAATTTTGTAAAGGTTTCAAATTAAAATTTTTGAAAATCTTAATTTTTCATACTTTTAACTAATAAAATTCTGTAGAATTAATATTTTTGAAAAAGTTTAATTGAATTTTTTTTTGAAATTATTTGAATTTTTTATTTTCTAGTATATATTTAATTGAAGAATTTCCAAATACTTGAAATTTCGTAAAATTGAATTGAAAACAAATGAATAATTTTGAAGATGTTTTATTGTTATGAAAAAATTTTATTTTTATTTTTAAGTAGGTATGCTTAAAAATTAAAATATAAATGAAATTTTGAATGAAAATTATGAAGGAACATTTTATAAAATTTTCTTTTATTTGACTTCGACTGGTTATATTTTTGTCAGTAATTGGTCCGTAATTTTTAATTTTTGGTCCAAAGTTCGTATTTTTAAATACCTTCACTGGTTCAAGCCCTGATATTTTTAAAAAATTGAGTTTTTTTTTAAATTTGAGTAAAAAATAAAGAAAAAAGAAAGCAATAATAGAAGCAACAGGAGAAGTTACGTACTACTGATCATGACTTCATCAACTGGAGACTAAGAAACATTCTCCTGCGCCTGTCCTTTTGTCACCCTCTTCGTGTTTTATTATTTAATGACAAATAATTCGATTCTTATGTATTCTATAATCTGGTGCTTGAAATAGAGGAATATTAAATGAAAATAATTGCAATTTCTTAGAAGGCGAGAGGTAAATTTCTAAGACATTTTCTATAATCAAAAACATGATGGTTTAAACTTGTTGAAAATTGTTGTAACCTTATGCATTAGCAATATAACTGATCAATAGTTACTAAAGGGTGAAAATTTCACACGAAACAAAATTATATTCTTCTGAAAATTTTATGAAGCTAAAAAGAAAATTTTTTTTTAATTTTATAAAATTTATTTGAATACTGTACAAACTTAATATAATTCGCTTTATTTTATTACGTGACGTAGTGTCGAACAGATGACAAATTTTAGTACCTAGTCTTTTAATTTTCTAGTTCTTTACTACTTTTTCCAAAAAAAGAAAAAAAAAGAGCCACAAAAAAATGGACTTCCAAAAATCTTATCTTAATATAAATAAATTTTTATTGTCAATTACCGGTTTTTGGCCTTATCAAGCAGGAACTGAAAAATTTATTTGCAGAACAATGGTATTAATTTTGTGGGGCGGGCATTTTCCATCTACGGTATTCTAATTTTTACTTTTTAATTTTATCATTGAAATAAGTGAAAATAAAGAAAGAAAATCTTAAATAAATATTTCTTAAGAAATTTTTTATTCTTATTTTTTTTATTTTGTTTCATTTTTTAATATTTTTATATTTTTCTGTTTATATTTTTATTTTATTTTTATTAGACAAGGCGTTTGATAAAGTTCTGGGAGAATGAAGATGACGTGATAGAGATTATTACTATTTACTGCACCTATTTATTGGGAATTATCAAAATTACTAATAGTGTGCATAAAAACGATAAGGTATATATATATATATTTATTATTATTTTTATTTACTATTATTTTTATGTATTATTGATATTTTTATTTATTATTTATATTTTTTTATTATTTTTGTTGATTATTAATATTTTTTTTTAATTTCATTTAGTATTTTAATTTTAATATTTAATGTTTTATGATTTTTAATTATTATTTTAATTTTTGATGTTTAATGTTTTGTGATTTTTATTTATTATTTTAATTTGTAATGTTTAATGTTTTATGATTTTTATTTATTATTTTAATTTTCAATTTTTTATGATTTTTATACATTATTATTACCATTTTTCAAATGATCGGTTTATAGATGAAACAACTATTAGAGAAAATCGACGCCGATTGGAATATTTGGTCAAATAAACCTGAGTTAGAAATTTTGAAAAATTTTGCAAACGAGGGAAGAAAATTTACATTGATATATGCGAGTAAATATTTTCAATGCTATTTCCCCTAATATTCAGTGATAATTTAACTAAATTATATTTTTTAATTTTTGAAAAATAGAATCTTTTACTTTCCAACTCGTAAAAATTTGTAAATAATTAAATTTTTCTTTTACAGTTGCTTTATATTTATCAGTAATTTTCTACTCATTGTTCACACTTTCGCCACAATTACTCGACATTTTTCTGCCAATTCCAAATGAAACACGAGCAAAAAAATACCTACAACCCGAATATTATGGTCCTAATATGGAAAATTATTTTGTCATTATTTTCATTTTTGCTGCAATTGGTATTTTGATGAACTTTACAATATCGGCGAGTGTTGATTCCATGTATGTTGTTTATGTTCAACATGCTTGTGGAATTTTTTCGGCCATTGGGTGAGAACGAAAATAGACATCGCCAAATGAATTTCATATAATATTTATTAAATTTTTCCTTTTTTGAATTTCGCGCCAATGAGGTTAATTAAATTGCCGTCTAGATGGCATGAAAATTCTCTCATAAACGAAGCAAACGGAATAGAATTTTTTTTTAGAATTATTCCAGTAAAATTCTATAGAACTTTTCCCACTGAAAGCTAAGTAATTTAGAAACAAAAAAACAATAAATTATGTATATTTATAATTAAAAATAAAAAAAAATTATTGAAAAAATAATTTTTTCCACACTTTTATTTTTCATAATTTTATCCATTTAAAAAATTACTTACAATAATTTATTTATTATTGTAATTTATAATGTTATTTATTTTAGAACTGAAACTAAATTTTTTTATATATTCGCTTCATTTCGACTGTGAGAGAATTTTCATGCCACCTAGACGGCAGTTTAATGAACTATATTAGCGCGAAATTCAAAAACAGAAAAATTCAATTCATAGTAAATTAGTTATAAAAATCATAATAATAGTACAAAATTAAATTCATTATAACTTAAACTTAATAATAAAAATTATAATAGTAATAGAAAATTTAATTAATAATACATTAATATTAATAATAGAAAATTAATTATTATTTAGAAAAAATAATTATGTAAATTTCTACACCATACTGATTGGAATTAATGTAAGAAGTCAACTAAATTGTTCAAGTAAAATTAATTCTGTAGAATGTTTATTAGATTTCATGTAAAATAATTCTATAAAATTCTTTTCATTGAGAATTTTATATTCAATTTTTATATTTCAATTCTTTGAAGCAACAGAAAAAAAAAATTAATTTTTATCATTATCCTCACAATTTTCGTAAAATTTAATAATTGATTATAAAGATATTTACCATTCGAAAAATGTTTTGATAGTAAATATTTTCTCGTTTTTTTACAGACAACGATTGGAAAACATAAAATATGACTGTAAATCAAAAGATAATAAATATTCACAAGAAATTCTCTTTTGTGTTCAACAACACAAAAGTATACTCAAGTTAGTATTTCAAAGTTCTTAATTGAACATAGAAAACAAACGCGATGGAAATTAACGTAAATTTATTTTATTTTCTAATTTAAAATTCAAATTTTGTTGAAAATATTCTTACAAAATTGTTTTCTTAAATTTTTCCTTATTTATAATTAAATTAAATTAAAATATTAATTATTAAATTCTACTTTAAGATATACGGAGGATTTGGAAGAAACCTACACGACTTATTTCTTTTTTCTAATAATAATAAACGTGATGGTTTTAATCGTGAACGGAATACAGGTAATTTGAGATTGTTGCTTTAAACTTTTATAATTAATAATAATTTTAAAAAAATATATATAATTGAATTTTATAAATACTGCGAATTTTCAATTTTTAGATTGTAATAAAATTTGATAATTTTGATGATGTCTTCAAGTTTGCAAATTATTCAATACTTTTAGTGGCGCATTTATTTTATAACAGTATTCCAGGGCAGAAATTACTCAATTACAGCGTGGTCGTCTCTCATGCAGCGTAAAATTATTTTTTATTTACTTAAAAAGAAAAAATTATTTTCCAATTTGATAAATTTTTGAAACAAAAATTTTTTCGTTTTATTCATCTTCACTATAATTTTTGAAATGAAAAATTTAATTTCCACTATGACACTATTTAGTGAAAGTAAATAATCAATTTTCTATCTTTAATTTTAGTTTTAATTTTATTTTTAATTTTATTTAAATATAATTAAAATTTAACTAAAAATTTTCTTTTATGTATTTAACAGCTACAATACGTGTTGGTATCAGGCCACAAGTTCTATCAAAAAATCTGTACTCATAATGATAATGAGAAGCTCCAAACCGTGTAAAATGTCTGGGGGGAAATATTTTATTCTCTCATTGGAAAATTTCAGTGTGGTAAGATTTTTTTGCAAAATTTTTATTTTTACGCAAAAAATACACTGTATTTGTAAATAGATTTGCATATTTTTGCAATTATGCAATTATGTAAATTTGCAAATTTAAAAATATTTAAAATATTTAAAATAAAAATTAAAAGCTAGTTTTATAAAGAATTTTATGTTAAAAATTCGTTCAATGCGCACGCGTGATTATTTCTCTCACAAGTGGTTAATATTGCACACTTGATATTATATTAACTCTTATTTTCCAAGACTAAAATTACTAAAATTTTTTTTTATTTTTTAATTTAAAGACTCGTGAATTGAACTAAAATTTTTAAGCTTATTTACTAAAGTTTATATTTTAATTTATTAAATAATAATTTATTAATTTATTAAACTGTTAATTAACTATTTATTAAGGTATATGAAGTAGAATTTATCACTCGGTCGAAAATTATATATGTGAGAAAAAATCATTCTTTCCGAGTCAAATAAAATTAATTAATTAGTCAAAAATTATTTGACTCGGAAAGAATGATTTTTTCTCACATATATTTATTAAAGTATTTATTAAAATTAATTATAATTAATAAACTATATTTTCTTTAAGGTTATGAAAACTACATTATCATATTTTACTGTACTACTTTCTATGCGACAATAAATCACTCTGCAAAGTCAACCAATATTTTCTATTTTATAAATGAAAATATTAATTTAAAAAAAAAATAATTTTTAATTCATACAATATTTTAAATAATAAAGGAAAACAGCATTTTAAAGCTCATTTTTATATAAATGGGGAGAAAATGTACGTTGTATAATATAAAGCAAAAAATGATTCTTCACCCAGGAGAGTAAAAAATTATTAAATTATTATTTAATATTATTGCTCGATTATTATTTAATTATTAAATAAACAGAAAGTGTACATAAACACAAAATAATAATATTTCCTCTATGAGGGAGCTATAGAATATAATAAATTAAATTTAAAATAATAATAATGGAAAATAAATAAATAAAATAAATAAATTTTACTTGATAACTATTGAAAAAAAATTTTGCATATTCTAAATGCGATATTTATTAATTAAGTGTATTCATTAAATTTTATTAATAAATATTTTATTAATTTATAATTAATTGAATTTTATTAGTAACTATTTTTTTAATTTATAATTAATTACTCATTAATTACAAATTCTCCTTTGAACTAAATTTTTTTTTCGTTACCTAATTATTATTTTTTTTCAATAGAAGATTATTATATGATTTTTAAAAAAGTTACCATTTAAGAAAAAATATACATTCTAATTATTGGATTAAAAGAAATGAATGAAAAGTAAGAATATAAATGAACAGAAGAAGTTGCCTGGAGATACTAAAGTTTATCAACTGATGGGAAACTTTAAGAAACATTCTACTGCGCCTGTCCTTTGTCACCTCTAGTCACCTTCCCGTCGTATTTTATTATTTAAAGACAAATTATTCGATTCTTATGTATTCTATAATCTGATACTTGAAATAGAGGAATATTAAATAAAAATAATGCCAATTTTATTGAAATCGTCAAGTAAAATTCTAAGACATTTTCAATAATCCAAAGACTTGATGATTGAAACTTTGTGAAAATTGTTGTAACTTTTACGCATTAGCTATAAAAAGAGATCAATATTTAACAGAAAGGAATTTCAAAAGAGAAAGGGTGAAAAATTTACATTGAGAAAATAATATTCAAGATAAAAAATTTATAGAACGGATATTTTTTTAATTTGTATGATAAATTCTGAGGAATTTGTTTCATTTTATTATTGAACACGGTATCAATTGGACGAGTGTATTGGAGATTAAATAAATTTTACTCACCGGATCTTTTGATAATATTTTAAATGTAGTTACTTGTTTCTTACCTGAAACAAAAAAATTATTTTCGAATTATTTTTATTACCAATATTTTATGTACTGTGAATAAAATATTGTAAAATAAAATCAATAAAATCCATAAGATAAAATCAATAAAACCAATAAAATATTAGTTATGAAAGATTTTGACTATATCGGCAATTAGTGACATCTAGTGAAATATTAATAAAATATTAATTTCTTAATGAATTATTTATTTTCTACTACAAATTTTCTACTAAAAATATAATATGTTTTAATTTAAAAATATTTTTTTTTTTAAAAAGCAAATATTATATTAAGGCCATATTATGGACTTCCACAATTCTCATCTTTCTTTGAATAAATTTCTACTTTCAATTGTTGGCCTTTGGCCATATCAATCAACGATTGAAAAAATTATTTCCTTAACTTTTTTAACTATTATTTGGACTGGACACTTTCCTTTGTTGGTATTTATCATTTTACGTGGGGAAAAAAAAAATTTTCCTGGAGCAACAATAAGTTTTTCTGGAATAACAAAAGTCTTAACTGCGAAACAATGAAATATCTTTCACTAAATATAGTATTTTTAGCTACTCCAGGTGAATTTTTTTTCCTTCTTTACAATTAATTTCATTTCAATTTTTATGGGAAAAAATAATATTTCTGAATCAATTTTTTATTATAGGCAAATCGTCTGATACATTTTTGGGGTAATGAAGACGAAGTTATAGAAATTTGTGCCGTTTATTTTAGTTCTTCACTTGGAGTTATCAAAATTTGGAATAGTTTACATAAAACCAAGAAGGTAAATATGTAAAAGTTCAAATGTTTTGTCACTAATTATTAGTCTAATTATAATTATTAAACTAATTATTATTATTACTAGCAACAATTCGGGCGCTAAAGCGCACGGCTATAACTTCTTAATTACTTTTTAAAATAAAATTAGCAATTTTAAAAATAATAGAATTTAAAAATTTTTAATTCAAATTTTTGTTGAAAATACTAAAAACATTCAATTTTAGAGAAATTACAAATAATTGCAGAAATTCAAGTATTTTAAAAAAATTTTAAGCAAAATTCTTGTCAAAATTTCAATTATTTTCAAAAATTCTTCTCATTTCAATGATTTCTGGTATCTAATATTTAAATAAAATTCTAAAATTTTCCAAAAAGAATTCAATTACTTAAAAAAAATTTTAATACAATTCTGCGCAAACATTTAATTATATTCATTAATAATTAAAATTCGACATGAATTAAATTATTTACAAATTTTTTTTTTTACAAATTTCTTCGCAATAATTCAATTATTTCAATAAATAACAAAAATTTTTTATGGAATTCAATTATTGTTATAAAAAATAATTAAAAGTTCTAGAAAATAATAATTGAAATGATGAAAATAATTTTGAAGAATTTATAGTAACAATATTATTATAATAATTAAAAATAATGATTTTATCACTCGTTAATTAATAATTATTATTATAAAATATGAAGACATCGATTGCTCCGAGTCTTCGACTCGGAGTGATCGACATTTTCATGTTTTATAACAATACTTTTATAAGTTGTTGATGTTTTTTTTGAATAATTTTGCAATTAAAGAAATTCGTTAATAAATGTAACAAAACATTTTTTTAAATAAAATTTTTCCCTTTATTTTCTAAAAATTAAAAATAATTTTTTAACAATGAACAATTTTATTTAATATTTTTATAAATAAAAAGGAGAAAAATGCCAAAAATTAAACAATATCATAATTTTTTAAAAATTTTCTAATTTCAAATACTTATTATATTATTATAAATCATAAAAAATACCTATGTATATTTTCGATTTGTCAAACAATATTTTCTAAAGAAAAAAAAAACAAAACAAAAGCATACACAAAAACTAACTTCAAAGTGTGGACAGACAGAATGAAAGAATGAAATACAAAGATTATTATAGTTAATAATAATAATTATTAAACTCATTATTAATATTATAATTATCAAACTAATTATTATTAATATTCACTAATTAGTCACTAATTAAATTGTTTTTTATTTTATCAAATTTTTTTGAATCACATAAAATCTGGCAGTATTATTTTAACACCGAAATAGATTATAAAAATGATTTGGTTTTTGATTGAGAAACATTTTAGTCATAGAAAAAATTAATCCAAAAGTTGATTATATAAAAAAAAATTTTTTTTTTGTATTAATTTAAGTTTCAAAGGTTTTTAATTCTTGGTTATTTTTCTGTAATATTATATTAACTAGTTTTTGATTTAAATAAAATTCTTTCGGAAGATAAATTATTATTTATAAAAATTTGGTAAAATATGTTCACAAAAATTCTTGAATAACATGCAGATGAAGCAACTTTTAGAGAAAATCGAAACCGATTGGAATACTTGGTCGAACAAACCGGAATTGGAAATTTTGGAAAATTTTGCTCAAGAGGGAAGAAAATTATTACTGACATATGCGAGTAAATATTGTCAATATTTTTTTTATTTCGATTCAATATTTTTTTTGACATTCAGGGTGCAATTTTTTAACTTGGACTTTTGATTCGATTTTCACTTTGACGTGACTTTTTTATTTTGACTTTCTTTTTCACTTTGGCTTTGACTTTGAGTTTTTTTTTCACTTTGACTTTGATTTTAATCTTGACTTTGATTTTTCGTTTAAAATTTTTATTTCTGGTTAAATGACAATTAGTAGTAATTAATTTAGTAGTAATTAATTTAGTAGTAATTAATTTAGTAGTAATTAATAATTAAATTATTAACTAAATTCCCCCTTTTCGCAGTTGGTTTATATTTTTCAGTAATTTGCTACTCGATTTTTACGCTTTCACCGCAATTACTCGACATTTTTCTACCAATTCCAAATGGAACACGAGAAAAAAAATATCTACTACCCGATTATTATGGTCCCAACATGGACGACTATTTTGTAATTATTTTTCTTGCGGACATTATAAGTCTTTACATAAATTTCACAATAACAGCGAGCGTTGATTCAATGTATCTGTTTTTTGTTCAACATGCGTGTGGAATTTTTTCTGCAATCGGGTGAGAATAAAAGTACAAATAATAATTTTCATCAAATTTTACAATTTTAACAATTTTTTTTTTTTTTTTTTTTTGAATAATAAAAAATAATTTTGAGCAAGTTTTATTAAAAACTTTTTATGCCCCATAGTCAACGATTGGAAAACATAAAATATGACTGTAAATCAAACCATAAAAAATATACACAAGAAATCCTCTTTTGTGTTCAACAACATAAAAGTGTACTCAAGTTAGTATTTCAATTTTTCATTTTTTTTTATTCCATATTCTATTAATTCTATTATAATAATTCATGTTAAAAAAAAGAATGTTTAAAAGTTTTTATTATTTATTTATTTTATTATTTTATTATTATTTAAAAGAATGTTTAATATAACTTTTATTTAAAGATACACGGAGGATTTGGAAGAAACTTACACGACTTATTTCTTTTTTCTAATAATAATAAACGTATTGATTCTAATTGTCAATGGAATCCAGGTAAATCGGAATTTTTTATTAAATATATTTTTTTTTTTAGGAATAATAATTATTTCACTAAATTAAATACACAAAGAAAGGTAAATAAATACTGGGGATTTTTAATTTTTAGATTGTGATAAAAATTAGTAACTTTGATGATGTCTTCAAGTTTGTAAATTATACAATACTTTTAGTGGCGCATTTACTTTTTAACAGTATTCCAGGACAGAAATTACTCAATTACAGCGTGGTCGTTTCTCATGCAGCGTAAAATTATTTTTTATTTACTTAAAAAGCAGAAAAATATTTTCCAATTTGAAAAAATTTTGAAAAAATAAAATAAAATTATCTATTTAGTGAATAAAATTATTAATTTTCTGTTCAAATTTTGTTTACTTAAAGAAAAAAAGCCAATTGAGTGT